TTTTTTTTTTATTATTTTTGATTCAAACGGCTAAGTGCTTAAAATGATGTATGTGCTGCATGAAAAACGTTTTTTTCATGATTGAAAAAACTTTATTTTTTTGGACTTCATCTTTCTCTTTAGATTTCAATTTCTCGTACGTTTCTTTTTCACATTTATGTTATATATCATACAAATAATTTTGGTTCAGATTAGTTTAGAGTGATAAAGATCATGTATTATCATCGGGGAAAAAATTAGATGATTGCTGTAGACATTCGACATCTAAACAACCTTGGTTGCATACTTATAGCTAAGCTGTTGTGTTGTGGTTTTTTTCGTGGTACAACACTATTTTATTATTGAATAAAAAAAACCAATGCTTTGATTCAATGGTTCAAAAAAATTTAGTTTCAAAGGCTGATTGTGGTCGAAGTAAGAAACCTAGTAATACACTTCTTAAAAGTCTTATTACGTAAAATGAAGTGATAACTGACATCAGCTGCATCCATCTAAAGTAACACAGAGGAAAGAATGCATAACTAAAAATGTTGAAATTTCAAATGTGCCACAAGTTTATTGCCGTTTACAAAAAAATTTCTTTATTTTCGTTCAGTTTCTCATGTTTTCTTATCTTGTTCATACTTTCTTATAGTGAAATTTCTGTAGTTTTACTATCCTCTAATTTTCATCTTTTTTCTGCCTTCTTATTGCTTTAATGGATTGCTTTTATTTGCTTTTTTTTTTGTCTAACGACAAATATCCTTAGTTTAATCTACTTTTACAATGGAGCTTTGAAAGTTATTTATTGGTTTGTTTTCAAGTGCCAAGGCTTTATGTCATTGGTATCACCGATTCTGGGAACTGCATTTAGTACAACATCATTGATAAGCAAGTCAAGTGGCTTTGGTGGAGTTGGCAGCGGCTCGAAAGGTGCTACATTCCCTTGGCAGGTCCAAATAATTTCAAAAACTTTTAGAATTGTGATGCTTAACGCATTATCGAAATGAATTATTAATTACAATATCGAAAAAATTTGTACTTGAAAAAACTGTTGCAAGTATCAGTTTTATACTTCTTTGGAAAGTTAGAAAAGTGATTTTAGTAAATTAGTTTTTGCGCAAACAAGTTTCCACAATGAAATAAACTTACTTTTGTCTTATAATCACTTATTTTCTTTGTATAAAATTTTAGTCACTCGTATCGGAATTTGTTGAACCTGGAATTGGAACTAGAGAAGCATTTCCTTTCCAGCGGTATGTCCAGCTTGGACTTGAAGCTCTGTCAAATTCTCAATCTTCTGCTCCATCAGTAAGCATTTTGCTGTTAGAAACCCGGAAAAAACGTGAAGATCACTATCAGAATTCAAATTTTGGCTAATCGTTAATTTAGGTGTTGACTTATCTTTTACCTCGTTATCTGATTGTAATAATAAAATTTACAGGTGAGATCAAATGTTTTGAACGACAAACCTAATTTATTGCTGGGGGGAGAAAGTGGTAGATTTGGAACCCAACGGCAAAACAACATATTCTTACCTCACCGTTCAACTGACGTTTCTAAGCGTAATTTTCAGCACTATGACTACAGCGGTATCAAAATTTTATCATTCAAAATTAACTGCTTCTAATCAAGTCCACATAAAAATTGGATTTTGAGTAGCAGTTTTTGAAATTTTTGATTACTTTATATCTAAAATTGCAGATTCGTACGGCGGCTTGAAGTGGAACTCACCAAGACTGGGCCAATCTACATTGTAATACCTTTAGCTTTTGCATAATCAACTATTTCATTGACTATAGCTTTGATTTTATCCTTAAAAGATATGCAACTCGTTGAAAATAAAGAGTTCTACTCTCAAATATTAATGAAACTTAAATCTGCTGATTCCTTAGATCAAAGTCGGGTCGACTGACTTCATCACAGATTACCGGCGTAAAAGTTTTTGGACAAAAAGTTTTGAAGGTAAACTAATATAATAGTTTACTTGTAAACAATTCTTTCTTCTCTCCTCTCTTCCTTACTATAATATAAAAAAATTATGCTGTTGAATTGCAGATGCTTGACGAGATTTCACAATACTCTGACATTCACCATCAAAAGTATCAGGACTACGGATCTGTTGAGCAATTGATGCATTCCTTTTTTGAGGCTCTGTCCGAAAAAAAGGGCCAGTCATTTCCTGTAAGCTTTTAGTAATCTTTGAAGTGTTGAAGACACCGTTAAAATGAATTTTTCGAGATTACCTTTAGGCTGTGCTTCGCCCAATGAATGATGGAACAGAAACTGGTCGAAATCGGCCATTATCAAAAGATCTCTTTGAAAGTGACATCGTGTTGACGGTTGATCAACTGAAAGGGTAAGTATCCAAGCAAAATATTATAATTTTTAGATAAATAAAACTAGTTCCTTCTGCAAACAGCCTAATTTTACTGATTTAGTTTAAAAAAAAATGAACTGATTGGGGTTCTTCTGAAGATTTACTTTAACAGTAAGATTTCAAAATTTTTCAAACGCTTGAAGTTCTCTTTGCTGGTATTATAAGGTGAATTAATTCTAATTTAATGCGAAAAGCAATAACAATTGTCAATAAAAATTTAACTTCCCTCGCTGACATTTGGTGCTAACAAAAAGTAATCTTTCTTTCTTACCCCTAATTCTCCTTCTGAACAAAAAACAGCTAATATTAGAAATTGATTTATTCAAAATTTACCTGATATGACTAATGTCTGAATACTTTCCCAGCTTTTTTGCCAGTGCGTTTCTCATGGTGTTGTCCAGCATTGTTTTTCTGCCACTCACAGAATTTCTATTTCTTATTAATTGCTAGCGGGACAACAAAATCAAACAGATTTTTAGTTCTGCGCTATAAAAATATAAATTGTGGTTGTTTGTTGCTGACATATTAGTTTACCTGAATGACTGCAAAATATTATTCGCTACTGCGTTAACCATTACACACTAGGACCTGAAATTGAAACACTGAATACTAAGAAATCCGAGGAGTAACAAAAGGCAGAATTCAATAACGCATCAACCTTAAATTAAAGACGATGCAGGATATGCACCGAAAACTTACAGTTTTAAATGCTTGCAATTGAAAGGAGAAGCAAAAACAACCTAAAAGGAAGAAAATTGACAGAAATTTAGGCTAAAGAAGTTAAAAAACTAGATTGAAAAAAAAAAGGCTGTAACATTTTTGTCTTTTTTTTTCAATCTAGTTTTATAACTTCTTTAGCCTAAATTCCTGTCAATTTTCTTCCTTTCAAGTTGTTTTTGCTTCTCCTTTCAATTGCAAGCATTTAAAACTGTAAGTTTTTTGTCTTTTTTTTGTCTTTTTGTCTTTTTTGTCATTTTTGTCTTTTTTTTCGAAGCATTACCTCAGAACCATTTTTGCCAGAGTACAGATAAGCCTGTCTATAACTCCATTGTGAAATAGTCTATTTTCATGCTTGCCTTACAGGATCGTTCTGGCAGAACGGGATCGTCGGTTAAGAAAATCTGGAAATAGGAGAGTAAAAAGAAAAGTTATCACTGGTGCTGTATATCGTTGGCCACAAAACAGACCAATACCTTATGAATTCAAAAGCGGAGATGGTATATTTCTTATTGTTTGTTCTTTCTCTTGGCTACAGTTTATAGCTCTTTTTGAAAGAGGTTAGTAAGAGAGAAAAATTACTGCTGAGTTTTACAGAATCAAGTGTTCCTCCTCTAAACAAAATTCAAAATTTAGCAACTTGGAAAGAACTCATCCGTAGCGCATTGAAGTTTTGGGAATCAGAAACCTGCGTTAGGTGGGAAGAGAACGGTCCTGGTGTTGATCGCGTCGTCTTTTTCAGAGGTTCAGGGTAATGGCAGTCTTATTTAGTTGTTGTTGGTATATGTGACCATCAAAGCTAATCACTGGTGTACACTGAAGACGGTCATTGTATCATATAAAAAAATTCAGTCAGTACTTGGCATAGCATTAAAACAACTGTCATCAAAGTATTGGTAGTACTTGTCTTTCGATGTATGTCATCTGGTATCGAATCGTACCAAAATGAAAGTGGAATCTTGAATTCAGGTGTTACTCGAGTGTTGGACGCACTGGTGGCCGTCAAACAATTTCAATTGGCAGAGGATGTGAGGATGTACGAACCTTGTTACCAAAAACTGTTTTCTCCTTTTAATGAATGTTTCAACAGAAACAGAAATTTTAAAGATTTTCTTAATATTACTGTTAATGTAAGGGTCTTTAAAGTTCTGAGGAATTTGCAATTAATTTTTTGTTTTACTGGGTTTCGTTCATGGGTACTTGAGTGCAAGTCTTCAGCAAAGCAAATTTCTGTATTTACAAACTTCAAAATAAGTTTTTCTTGATGTTTTAAATTAGGGTTACTGAAATACTTGCTATTTATTTGCTGATTCTTCTACGTCTTACTGCACATTCATTACTTCACAATTCTTCACCAATTTTGGGAACGATGGAAATTTTTGAAAACGGAACTAGATTCTGCTTATTGAGACAATCTATGTCAATTGCATCCAAAAAGAATTCTTTTACTTTTTAAGCATTGTCAAGTTTAGCATGGCCTTGCTGCAAATGTTATTTGACTGTAAATAGCAGTAGTTGGGTGGTACCAATTAGTCGTTTTTGTTGGTTTTTTGCCATATTCCGGCCTTTTAACCGACCATTTAATAACACTTTCAAACTTTGTAAGACTTCTAGATTTGGCTC